GGCACGTACAAAACCACGAAACTCCAAAAGCCTGTCATGAAGGTTTTTACTCACAAGCCCCAAACCCCTACCATCATTCAAAATTTCAGCTCTTGAATAACCTTAAACCCTAAACCTTAAACCCCATAAACCCCTAGCATACTGCAAAAGCTGAGTTAAAGGCCCCAGGCCCTCCACCGAAGCGTCTTCTCTCCTGCAAGGCGACTGTGGCTGCTGCCGGCGATGAAGAAGCCGGGAAGGTGGGACGGGGTCAAGCCAGGGGGTGAAGCCTCGGTTCTTGTTGGGTCTTTGTGAGTTTAGGGCTTATAGGCGCCTGAGTTCTTGTTGGGTCTTTGTGAGTTTAGGGCTTATAGGTGCCTGAGTTCTTGTTGGGTCTTTGTGAGTTTAGGGCTTATAGGTGCCTGAGTTCTTGTTGGGTCTTTGTGAGTTTAGGGCTTATAGGTGCCTGAGTTCTTGTTGGGTCTTTGTGAGTTTAGGGCTTATAGGTGCCTGAGTTCTTGTTGGGTCTTTGTGAGTTTAGGGCTTATAGGTGCCTGAGTTCTTGTTGGGTCTTTGTGAGTTTAGGGCTTATAGGTGCCTGAGTTCTTGTTGGGTCTTTGTGAGTTTAGGGCTTATAGGTGCCTGAGTTCTTGTTGGGTCTTTGTGAGGGTTAGGATGCTTTGGTTTTTTTGTGAGAGCCGAGAGGGTTTCAGGAGGGTTTCAGGAGAGTTGTTTCGGGGTTATGAGGGGCTTATATTGAAGCCGGAATGAATCGCAGAGCTATTGTACTTGTAGTAGAAAGACCACCCAAGAGAAGAAGCAAGAACGTCTTCCAATTTTTCAAACACCTATATTCGGAGAGTCTCTTTTCAGCGTCCAGCGGATCACTGCTGACTTCACCGCAGCCACTGCGAAAATGAATACATCAACCGCAAAACCGTCAAACTGCTGGACCATGATCGTGGGGTTAAGAACGGAAATGTGTTTTTTATCGGATCGGATTAGATACTTTGAGGAGTTAGGCGGAGCTTCTCTACAGTCACCTTGGGGGCGTTCGAGGCTTGGATGTTCCAGATTCGTCAACAGAAGCTAGAACCATCGCTGGTAGTATCAGTATCAACTATTCAAGTATGCGTTTGGGTTCCGATGATATCTATAACGTCATTTACCCCCAAGCCCCATTTTAGTGTCAAGGCCCTTTCCTTCTACAAGAAATGGTGCTTTAGCTCCTCGCCCTGATCCTGGTTCCCAGCTGAAGCCCCACCGGCAGCGGAAAGCCCCCAAAGCCCTTGGACGCTGTAGAGACAGCCAAAGCAGGATGAGAACAGAAACCCTACACCGCAAAACCCACAACAAAAACATAACAGTCCGTAAAGCGGCCCAAAGCTAGTCTACCTCTTCCTGTAGATAAACATTTGCCCAGCACTAGTTCAAAGGCCCTGCTGAAGAGCAAGAGGTACGCCGCCTCCTGGGTGACCCGGAGGTCAAACTCATACGCCACTGCCCCGAAAGCAGACTTCATAAGGATCTGCGGGCAGTAGAGCATCCAAGTAAGCGGCTTGTGTTGGGGTTGCGTTGGCTCAGCTGTTCTATGCTGTTGTTCTTGGGTACCCTGGTCACATGCGGCTTAGAAAGCTGTAGTGATATTACGAACAGCAACAAATAGCAGGCGATTCCTTTGTCTGGGCTGAGATTAGAAGAGTTGGATCGATTGTTGCTGCAGCCTGTATCCTGCAACAGACTGGAGCGTTCAAGCACCATCAAGGTTGACGTCGTCGCTTCTAAAGCCACAAAGGTGTAGCTGCAGTGATAGCCAGTTTTACCTCCATGAAGCTTTGGGGGAAACTTGAGATGCTCCTAAACTAGGCTTGCAAGCAGCCGCTTGCGATCAGTGGTCTTATTCTTAGTAGCATGGTAGTAGTAGTAGTAGTAGTAGTAGTCGTAGTCGTCGTCGTCGTAGTAGTAGTAGTAGTAGTAGTAGTAGTAGTAGCAGTAGTAGTAACAGCACTGGCATTGGTAGCATAGGGTAGGATAGAAGAAGCATTGGTGAAGTTGACAGTACTGATGTTGAGGACATTTTCCAGTACCGTCACTTTCCCCCACAGGTCAGCTGCAGGACCGGCTGCAACTGTACGATGGTCACTCAGCTGTGCACTAGACATGCTGGGTCTATGATTATAAGAGCCGATAAGGGTTACTATAAGGGTTCTATAAAAGTTCTATAAGGGTTACTACAACGGCTACGATGTGCATTGGATATGCGCTACCGGACGTGGAGGTACGTGGTTGAAGGAGCGATCACGGGTGCATGGCCGTGCCTGTAATTCGAGAAGTATACTCCCTCGCTGAGGGTTTTGCAGCGCAGCACGAGCCTTGAAGAAAAGCACCCAACGATTTCAACACCTGTGAACTTTGATGCTCAAACTCAGGGGCAGCTGACACTTCCGTAGTGTATGAGTAGTTATGGGCATTTGCAAATGTGGTTTGCGGGATGAGGTGTCATGCAACTACTGCTGGATCAATTCCAGGCATAAGACTCGTCAAAGGTGCTCAACAGTAAGGGTCTCAGATGCGACATAAAGCCCAGGCCGAACATCCCGGAAGCCTACCACCACTGCGCTGCTCCCTCCTACCTCCCGTCAACCCTCAAAGCCACAATATAGAAATCTATGTACTCGTATAGGAAGAAGCCCACGAGAAGCACAGCTCAGGGGAGAGGATGGTCCCGCTGAGCACGTGCTTACAGCCGGGGAAGCCGCTGTTCCCTGGAACAAACGGCTCATGAGTTGAGGCTTTGAGTACGGTTCGGGGTTCTGAATTCTAGGACTTGGGCACATGATTCAGGGTGGGGGGCTTGGCATTGTAAGATCTTGCTCCCTCTCTAGGTCGAGGTATTCTGGCCTCTGCGGACGCGTTTTTGGCTTAGGCTTACAGATGTTACTGTAGGGTCTTTGAGTTTTGATTTTTTGTATGGGACTCTGTTGGTGGTACTGTTACTTCATCTGCCCACAACCGTGCTTACAGGAAGAGGGTGTGCAGGGCAGCGTGGGATTGTTGACAAAGACGAAGGCCGTAGCTTTGCAAGGTTTCAGGCTTTTGGGTTTAGTTCAGGGTTTAAGGTTTAGAGTTTAGATCAAGAAGGAAGGTTTTGTCAGGGAGAGCTGTGTGTACAACATCGATAGGGACGACTGACCTCAGAGCCTTGCCCCGCTCTCCCGGCTCCAAAGGAAAACCAAAGTCTTGATCAGCAAAACCCCAGAAATTCCAGAGAACGCAAACATCCATGCAAACCCTGAGCAGTCTTGAAGTAATATAGGGTCCTAAATAAGTACCAATACTATTTGGGGGTTCCTTATTATGATTATGTTTACATGGGCCCCAAGACCTTATTCTAATTTTTAAGGCCCCTATGTTAGCCAGCAAAGGTACGATGCGGACGTTGTATGCGTAAAGGGCTCAGTGTCCAAACGCACAGGTCCTCGGCTTCTCTTGCTTGCCGGTGAGCACTCTACTGCTAGCAACAATAGTGCTGGATAGCGATGATGTGGCTGCTGCTAGTGGCCGTGCTGGTCATGATGAGGATGACGATATTGTGGAGATCAAGGTGATGTAATTTATGATGATGTTGTTGCTGTTGGTACTCATGGTTGTCACGACGATGATAGTGGTGCTATAGGTGATGTTGTTGATGACGACAGTGCGGAGCATGCTGGTGATGCGGGTGATGACGATACCAATGAAGGGCAGAATCAAGATGATCCTCGCGATCATGCTGTTGATGTGATATTTAAGGGGACTGGCGATGACAGTGCTGCTGATGATTGCTGTCGACATTGTCATTGACAGGATAACGTGACAGCGATGTCGCTGATGGGACTGATGATGTCGATGGCGGTCCGACGACGATGACCCTTGATGGCGACCATGTCAAAGATCGTCATGAAGATGGAGATTGTGCTCGTGATGAACCTGATGGTTACGAGGATGATGACGACGATGATGATGGTGGTGAAAAGATGACAAGGTTGATTGTGGTGAACATACTCATCACGACAATCTTGATGATGCTGAGGACGCGGTTTTAGGCTGCGCAGGCCGATGAAGGGTAATGCGAATACGATTGACAAGGCTTGGTGAGGATCAGGACTGCGAACTTGTTTTGAGTAGGCTGAAAGATAACTCTTATGAGTTTGATAAGGCTTGGTGAAGATCAGTGTTGTAACAGCAATGGTGATGCTAGTGCTGCTGCTGGTACAAATCTAAGTTTCCAGAAGAGATACGCAACATCAATGTTTTCGTATTCCTCACCTGAGCATCCTTCCTCTTGCCTCTTCCTGTTTGAGCATTCCGTCGCGACAGCTTGCTACTCTTGGTGCTGGTGCTCGCCTGAACCCCAGCGCCTCACCGGCAAGCACACTGCAGATCGGCGAGATCCACGACTCAGAGGCAGACCATGCGTTGCAGCGCCTGATCATCGATGCCTTGACGTATCCCAGCACGAAGCGGCCATGTACCCATAGCGTACATACTGTGGGCTTACTGTAGCCCTACACACACACACACATATATATATATATATATATATATATATATATATATATATATACGTATTTTCGGCCAAAATATCTTTCATCTGGGTACATGGACCCTTATGGTTGTGTGTTCCAGGCTGCTGTTTTCTGTGCTGCTTCATGTACTGGACCTTGTAGAGCCTCTTAATCGGAGGACCTTTACAGTATTCTGGGGACAGCTGAAGAATGTACCCGAGATGTAAGAATCCCCAAACAAGAGCACTGTAAAGCCGAATCAGACAGTATGGACGAACCGCCGCAATTTTTGACTTGTACTAGTTGCAACAGGGCTAGGGTGTATCTTAATTTTGTTTAGTGTAGCTACACAGGGTTACAAGAGGATACTACTGGCCGTCCACATTCTCAGAGCCTTATCGCATCTCCCCTCAAACTGCCAAGCCTGGCCGAAAAGCAGCCCTCAAATCCCGAGCCCCTGAGTTCGAACGAAGCCAGCGGTCCAGTAAGCTTATACAATGGGCTGTTTTACTGCGGTCAGACAGGGACAGTAACTTCCTGTGTAGGAGGCTAGGCTTCTTGGGTAGAGCAAACTGGGCCGAGGTATTCCCTCTTCCTTGCACTGCGAAGTTCGGAAGGGGTCGACCCCACCGCGCCCACGGGGCGTACTCCTCAGAGACTTCGGCCAATCAAGCCCTAGGCTTCCAGGGACCTTGTTATTGGGTCCTTAAGGGGTCGAGGGCCCTAATGTGAAGGTCCTTGGAAGCATCGGCACAAGGCATCGTATTTTTGGCCCGTGACTTATGCCTCAAAAATTACGGCTCGGCTCGATCGTTTCATTGGGGTTGTAAGGCCTTACGGTTCGGTTTAGGGTTTCTGGTTGAGCGTGTTAGTGTTTGGGGTTTAGAATTGGCATTTCTGCAACTTCAGCTGCAAAGTCAAGCCACCAGCAATGTCTGCAATAGCAGCACAAAATAGAAGCATTCACAACCACGCTAGAAAAAAGCACGGCTTCCAGGTTGAGGTGTGACGCATCACCGTGTGTCATTGTTGGAATTGCATCGCAGAATTGCATTATGAAGCTGCATCTTGCAACGTACTTCCGGAGTAGCAAGGTAGATACACAAAGCGAATCAACGAGAAAACTCATGCGCGTCAAGCAGACGGCAGATTTTAGTCAAGCTTCACATTGCCAAACCCTGTGCTTCAATTAAACCGATGATGATCATGATGCTGCTGTTGGTGATGCAGTCTGCCGAGCCTCCACTTAGGAACCTGTCGCCGCAGAGGCTTGCAGTTGGAGTGGCCGCTTGGGCTTTTCAGGTTTGACGGAACACCTTCGGATTTGGGGGTGGCTTAGGTGAGGGTTTCGGGTCATTCAGGGTTTAGGATTTAGGGTCATTTGGGGTTTCGAGGTTTGTGGTGTATAATACATCAGACAGCTGATGTCGTGGCTGCGGCTGCAGCTTTTCTAATCAGCCTGGAAACACCTGAGCCGAAACGTCCAAGTTTCATCTAGCCTGATGGGTAGCCTAACGATAGTATGTCGAAAAAATGTGTCATAAAATATCACATACGACAACCGAGCACAAAGAAGACGTAGTGTAACTTATTCAAGTTAATGTAATGCAACAGAACAGAATGATTCAGTATAGTATGGTATAGTATGCTGGTAGTATGGTATCATTCGTCCAGGAGTACTTCACTCGACAGCAGCAGCAGACGCTGGACCAGCTGATCTTCGACAGGAGTGAAGGAGGGCCGGGCAGTTCGCCATCAAAGTTCCGGCAACTCGGCTCGAATTCTCGTTCGGGATGCTGGAGCTACTCTCCGTGACCCGAACCCCCGGTTTCTGAGCTTCAGAGGCCTATTCTACCCTAAACCCTAACCCAAAGCTTGAAGCTCGAGAAGCATGAACCCTGCGATCCTTATGCACTCTTCACATCAGCTTGGCAGCTGCGAGTAAGAGCTGAGGATATGTTGGACGTTGGGTGGTTGAGGGTTTTTGGGTTTATCATACGCTCTTGAAAATGTGCGAAGGTGCATGGGTGCCTTTTTTGTAGAGATGCGAGAAAGCCCAAAGCTCCAATGCCGCAAGTTCTCGAAGCTTGAAGCGAGAAAGTCTTGAAGCCTTAAGACACTGCAACTCCGCAACTCTAAACCCTGAACTCTGTGAGGCCCTAAGTCACTAAACTTTAAAACGTCCTAAACCCTAAAGCCTTAAAGCCTCAAGCCGTGAACCCTCAACCCGCCGTACCCCAAACCTTACAACAGCCGTATGTAAGCCTTGCGCCTCCCCCGCAAGGGAAGCCTGCGACTGGGATCGGCAGTGGAACTACGCCGGGGCCTCTGCACAGCAGCTGTGGGATCTACCCATAGCCCCCATAGCAGTTGCTTTTTGGGGCTTATATCTAGAGTTCTATCAGGTAATCCCAAAAAGGAACTTCTATTGGGCCTATGCGTACTGGCATGGGGGACGGCAGAAGTTATTAGATTTGTCCCTGGGTTCCTTTTAATACTCCACTAGCATACCCCAAATCCCCATTGACACGATGAAGGTCCCTAATCGTAGAGATCTTCTTGAGCATCAGGGGACGGCTGAGAATGCAGGTCCTGGGCCTTACAGCACTGCAGCCTAAATCGGCAACCCTGAAGAGCTCTGGGTTTAGGGTCTAGGGTCTGAACCCTACAGACCGAAGCCCTGAGTTATTTTGGGAGCCGTCCTACACCTTTAAGCTTGAGGTTGTCAAGCTGCACGCTTCTGGCAAGGAGGTTTGAAAGAGCCTGATTTGAGGAGTGGGGTCTAAGACAAGAAATGTGTTATACGGTGATACAGTTTAAAAAACTGATTGACTGCTGGTTGCATGTGAGTGATTCTGATAGTTATTGGGGTCCCTGCTTCGGGCTTTTGTCGCATTGAGGAAGCTTTGTTATTCACGTGGATGGTCAGTGTAGACAAGTAGACAAGTATACAAAGCTCCTTAGTTACTGCCGCTTTTTATTTCTCGGGTTTGCTAGAAATCCGACTGCAACCACGCCCCCTAAACCCAACTGCCTAAGCCTCAAGCCCCAAAGAACCACTGTACCTTCAAAAAACACACCCACTATACTCTCTAGGCTTAAGCGGAGGGCCCAGCCTTAAACCTATACTAGGACCCAGAGTAGGCCCTATATTCCCTTTTTAAGGGTTCAGGTTCCCTTATAACCCCCTTTATCCCAAAATGGGCACCCTTTTTATTCCTAGGTTACTCTTGGGTCTAGTATACCTTATTCATTACTCTTCTGCCTTAGCAGCCTCGGCTTCACGAAAGGGCCCCTCAATCTGAACCCCATCCTATTATATAGGGTTTAGGGGTTTAGGGTTTCGGGGTTTAGGGGTTTAGGGGTTGAGGGCTTAGGGGTTTAGGGGTTGAGGGTTTCCGGGTTCAGGGTTTAGGGTTTAGGGGTTGAGGGCTTAGGGGTTTAGGGGTTTAGGGTTTAGGGTCCTATCCTTCAAAAAGTCAGACCCGGGCTTCTCAACGTGTAGCACCGGGTTGTGCTAATGCAGGGGCCTAAATAACTATCAATACTACTGTGGGGGCGTGGGGGTTAACTTATTATGATTACAGAATAATGGGCCCCCAAACCCTATTCTAATTATTAAGGCCCCTATAGTAGAATCGGATAATTATGGGCTCAGAGAGAGACTCCAAGCTGAACACACAGGAAATGCAGGAGGGATATAACATTACCCCTAATTATAGCATAATGGCCCCTACTTACATCACATCCTCGAGTCAAGCAGTCAAGCCTCTCACCATGGCAGCTCCAAACACCAGAGATACCGCTGCGAAAGCCCGAAGGAACCCTAAGCGCTGCCCAAGCCCCTCAATCCCGCCCGTGCTACTATCCAGGATTGGGAAATTTATGCGCCTTTGTTTCGATTCTGCCCCTTGGCCGGCAAGATTAGTATGGAGGCTCTGAAGACGTGGAGTAGAGCTTTGCTTCGGAAGGCTAGATTCCCGTCACAGAAGTTAGTACAGGGGCCTTTATAACTGGAATAGGGATTCTTTTGAGGGTTCTTTGTAAAGGGGTCTATAAGGAGTACTATAAGGCTAGTATGGGGGTTTAGAATAGGGGTCAATAATTGGAAAACCGTAGGGTTTTTGGGCCCGCTATACTTTAATTATAGTGTGGAACCCTGAAACAGTATTGGAAATTATGATATTAGGCCCCTATAGTACACAAGCCATCCTAGGATGATGCTCCTTGAGATCACCCAGGATCCGGTTCAAGTCCACAGAGGAATTCCCACCCTTCCCGCTACGTTTGGGATCCTGATGTTTAGTTTCTTGCCGGCGTCGTTTTGATCTCCTGTTGCGAGCTTAGAGATTTCGGCGCAATAAGTCAGGGGCCTGAGATGTTCCCGGAGGTGAATGATGTTTGGACTATCGCGATTTCCTTGATGCCTTTAAGTTGGGATTTTGGGTTGTTTTGGGGCAAGACTTCGTTGTTGGGTAGCTCGACGAACTACTACCGCTGGCACTGCCAACCCTCCTCCTGATGTTGCCGCTGCTTCTACTGCTCCTCCCGCTCCTGCTGACCACGCTACGACTACGACTACGACGACTGCGACGACGACGACTGCGACGACGGCGACGGCGACTACTACTACTACTACTACTACTACTACTACTACTACTACTACTACTACTACTACTACTACTAGTACTACTACTACTACTACTACTCCTCCTCCTACTACTACTACTAGTACTACTACTACTACTACTACTACTACTACTACTACTACTACTACTACTACTACTACTACTACTACTACTACTACTGCCACTACTATTGCCACTACTACTGCCACTACTACTACTACTACTACTACTACTACTACTACTACTACTACTACTACTACTACTACTACTACTACTACTACTGCCACTACTATTGCCACTACTACTGCCACTACTACTACTACTACTACTACTACTACTACTACTACTACTACTACTACTACTGCTACTACTGCTACTACTACTACTACTACTACTACTACTACTACTACTACTACTCTTGCTGCTGCTGCTGCTACTACTACTACTACCACCACCACCACCACCACCACCACGACTACTACTACTACTACTACTACTACTACTACTACTACTACTACTACTACTACTACTACTACTACTACTACTACTACTACTACTACTACTACTACTACTACTACTACTACTACTACTACTACTACTACTACTACTACTACTACTACTACTACTACTACTACTACTACTACTACTACTACTACTACTACTACTACTACTACTACTACTACTACTACTACTACTACTACTACTACTACTACTACTACTACTACTACTACTACTACTACTACTACTACTACTACTACTACTACTACTACTACTACTACTTACTACTACTACTACTACTACTACTACTACTACTACTACTACTACTACTACTACTACTACTACTACTACGCAATGCAATCACAAGCCAACCGGCAGATAGATGCTGGAGTAGCCTTAACCGGAAGCCTGAGATCTTGAAGCCTCAACCCTAGACTACTGCCACATGAACTCTGGCAGATAGACACTGCCCTTGACCGGAAGCTTGAGACAATGAAGCTTCAACCCTAAACCTTAAACCCTAGACCGGACGACCAAGGCCAGCTGAACTTGAACAGAGTCGTTGGATTGAACATTCCGCTGGAGGCAACCCTTATGGTATCCAAAGGCCCAGACCCGGGCTGAGGGCTGCGGGGTGTCATGCTTCGAGTCGAGCGTGTCTACACCCTAGGGCCCCATAGTAGTTCCTTTTTGGGATTACCTTATAGGATTCTAAATATCAACCCCAAAAAGGAACTACTATGGGGCCTTAGGGTAGTGCGGAAACGTTGCTCGTGCATGGGGTCCTTTTCGCGGTGTCAGCAGTTTCGATTTATGGAATCTGGCTCCCAGCTTCCTCAGTTGCAAAGTACGGACTTTAAAGCTGCCCAAAGCCAAACGCGCTAAACCCCAAGCCCGACGAATCCCCGAAGCCCCACATCCCGATGTGCTCCGACAACAAGACAATGCATTCCCTAGGCTTACTCAAACCGCGCTGACGACAGACAGCAGTCGAAGGCATCAGGACCTTCTTAGTCCAAGAAGCTACCTATATCGTTAAGGTTTTGGCTTTAGCGGCTTTAGGTCTCAGGCATGTTAGGCAGGTAGTACAATCGCTATGTACGTAATCCAGGAAGGATAACCGGAAGTTCCCCTAGGAAGCTGTCCAAGCACGCCGCTCTTCCACCACTGCACGAGGGAGAGCCTTCTGCCTGCACCCCCTCCTCCTCGAAAGAACATGTAAACTTCAAGCCCGTAGCCGCGAACCACAAATGCCTAAACCCTAAACCCACAAATGCCTAAACTCTACAACCGGAAAAGCGCCACCCCCAAAACCCTGAAACCGAATCTCAATACGACAGGTACCGGACCTCACTTGCTAGAGATTTCTCTGACAAATTCCTTTGGAGTTCCTACTGGGATCCGTGACGAAACAGGTTAGGGTCTAGGGTTTCGAGTTTAGGGGGTTTGGGTTTAGGATTTGGGGTCATGGTTAGGTTAGAGTAGATCGTGGATGCAGACCCCGACCCGTAGTTTGCTTAGCCGTGACCTGCTGGCCGCGACAGGTAGCATGAACATGAAGTACTGTAGAAACCCCCAAGACTTTACCCGAAACCCGAACCTTTCATCAAACTACTCATAGGCCCCATACTAGTTCCTTTTGGGATTACCTTAGGATTTGAAATATGAAACCTCAAAGGGAACTACTGTGGGGCCTATGGGTACCCCAAAGCCCTAAACCCTAAACCCTCAAACTACATACCTGAAAGCCTTACGCAGACGTCTCCCAGGGGGAGTTGCCTCAACTCCATCATGGCTGCAGTCGCGCCTCCCCGATCTGGTCCCTTGGCACAAGGGGCGGTTCAGACGTAGTATACTACAGGAAACTAGATCATGTATAATGTATATATGTATGTGTGTATATATATATATACATGTATACATGTATACAGATGTACATATATATATATATATATATGTTTATGTATATTATGGCATAGTACTAGTAGGTTTTTGCAGTCTGGACGAAAGAGTGCCAAGACATGAAGAACAGAAAGCAGGGACGACTTGCAACAGCCGCAATGCTAGCAGCAATAGGAAGAGCAAGACGCTAGCTGTAGCTGAGGCTGCAGGAGCCTTTTCAATGGGAAGAGCCTCGAACAGCACGATCGCTAACAACTCAAATTAAAGACCATCTTGACCGCAGTCGTCATCGTCGTCTGTTCGTCGTCGTGGCGCCGCTGCAGGTGAAGTTGTGCGAGACGGCTCCAGAGGGGTAAGATAACCAGACAGTTTGCAGCCGGGGGGCCTTCTTGACGTCTTAATTTTGTGATCGGCTAGTAATAATATTCCTTTATAGACCCCAAAGGCCCTTTTCTTGTTATTGAAGCCCCTACATGGCAGTTTTTGGATCTAGTGGCTTGACGATAAGGCTCGGCAACGTCCCAGAGACCCCAAATTACCCTTCGAAGGATCCCTGGTGAAGGATACCGTTTTAGGGTGTAGGGTCACCATGCTAGAGGTTGTTGGTTTAGGGTTACCATACTCAGCTTAAGCCCAAGGTGTCTAAGCCTTCTGATGCCTGAACTGACGGATTCCACTTAAACCCCCTACTATAGAAACGTAAATACGTATTCAGATGTATTCTTAGGGTGTTCTTCCCGTTTAGTCAAGTTGTTATACTCCGAAGGGGCCCAAAACCCTATTCTCATCATTAAGGCCGCTATATCGTAGTACCCTTATAGTACCCGCTACAGTAACCCTTATCGGACCCTTATAAAGGAACCCTACTCTCGTCATTAAGGCCCCTAACATGAACTTAGCCCCCTGCCTTTGGAAGGATCTCTCACAGCCACGACACCGTCGGCGCTTCGAGGACATGTCACTTGCTGATGAGGAAAACCGGGGGCTCAAAGGGTCCATGCTGTTTTCATTAAGGGTCGGAGTGTAGGGTTTGGGGTTTAGTTTTGGGTGTCAAGGGGTTGGGGTCCAGGGGGGGGGCCCTGGAGTGTAGTTAGATCTTGGGAAACTCAAGAGCACGCGTTCCTGCAGAACGATCAGAGCCTCAGTGTAGAAACATGGACATCGCGAAACAGCAATGGTAAGATGAAGAATTAATGATTTTGAGTAGCTAGTAGCAAAGACTTCAGCAAAGCAGCGACGGGTATGTTTGCATCGACCGTAGTCAAGTCTTCTTTCGTTGAGATTGGACACCCCGGTGAGCTTTAATCCGGCGATGAAGGCATGTCTAAATGTTACAGCTCTTTCAAAAGACTACATCGACATTGCGAAGCAGGTGTAGAGGGAGCTTAGAAGGCACAGATCTTGGGTTTGTCCATCTAGACTGGCTGTTCTTTGGAAGTAATCTTCCTATCTTTGCAACCACTTCGATCTGGGGTGCAGGTGGAAGGATGTCGACGTGCGCGGGGTTTCCAAGCTATGGTGCCTCAAACACCCTAAGGGTGCATGTACCCATACAGTAGATACTTGGACCCTAAGAGTACCTGAAGAGGTACTACTGTTAAGCCCAAAGCACATAGTATCTGAGTACACGGACCTCTAGGGACAGGGATTGCCGCCTCAGCAAGGCTACGCATGCCGCTGGAGGAGGCTGTGCAGAGGACCTGCTGCGGCCTGTGTGCATGCTCGAGGTGTGAAATTTCACTACCAACTTTGTATGATGCTGCACCGCAATTCGTTCTGTCTGTCTGCATGTACGGATGTATGGATGTGTGTATGCATGTATGTATCTCTTTATACACACGGACATACGTACTAACTAGTGTAGCATCCAGCACGGTATATTTCCGCGCAGCGTTCCAAAATGTGTCATAAACTCGATCCGGCAAAAGCACAGGGTTTTGGCTGATGCGCAATCGGCTGTTGCAAAGAGTTGCCATGTTTAAGCTGAGCAGATACAACAAGCCACTGCCGAACATGGAATTACATCCCTAAGCCTTAAACCCTAAACCCATACATCCATACACCCAAGCAGCAGCAAAAGGCAGTGCCCAGACCGTGCAATCAGTCCTGCGTTCTGCAGCTCTGCGCTCGAGATTATGTCCGAGGACACATCTTGGACACTGGCTCTAAAGCCAACACCCTTAACACCAGACTGCCGGAAGGATGAGTTCGCCCATAGCGGATTGGAAGGCACAAGAAAAGCTGTGTCCTGGCAAAAAGCGGTTAGTGTGCACGTTTGGTAGTGGAGGGGAGTGGCCTTGCAACGGAAATCCTATACGTCTCCCCTACTCGGGCAACACTATTGTATTCTAGGGTGTTTACAGCAAGTTGAAACAATTATTACGAGATTAGAGGGTTGCTACAATGGGGTTGGTGTATGAGGGGGCTATAACCCCTAAAGGCCCTAAACGTGCAGCACTCGGAGCAAGGCGGCTCGGAGGCTTGAGGGTCGAGGCTCTTTACTTCTTGATGCCCCTGCGACCCAACTTCGTTGTCCAGCAATAACGGCGGCACAGGTGCTACGGTTGATGATATAAATGCTGCATGACCCACAATAAGGAATATACCATAATTCTCATAGTTTAGGGTCCTTATAATAAGGTAAGGCAGGATTTATATCATCAACCGTATCTCCAAGCCATCACCGTAAACTCAACCCCTGATGCCTGTGCCATATCCCTCTTGCGGTAGCCTGGTGGTTGAAGGCTTCGGTACCAGGACATCCAGGGTACAAGTTATGGGGTGGGTTGCAGGCTTACAGAATAGGGTTAGATCAGAGAACCCTGCTTTTCTGATAGCCGCAGCCTGTGGGGCCAGCGACCACAGCCACCGGACCCCGTGGGAACGTAACTTTCGGCTAAGGGTTTTGGTCTATAGAAGGATTCTTGCAGTGATCTGCGAATGTAACCCCCGGGCTGTTTGGATAAACTTGTAGACCTTTAAAGAGTAGAGACCATTAGGTTTCAGTTTTCTCCTCCGATCCTCACTGTCCAGGAATTCGACCTATGAGGTGCGTCTGCAGTGCATGATGCGCTGTATTCCTTCCTGGGTTTCTCTAAAGTGGACGATTTATCGGGACCCTAAACAACCTGCTTTTTTGAGGACTTGCACAAAGACAAGACAGAGGTTTTGGGGTGGTACTGTATCTCGGTTAGGTTTCCCTTCAGGTTTGGTCCTAAACCCTGAAACCGTAAGCCCTAAACCCCGAGGCCCCGAAACCCCAATAGAGCTCAGAGGACATGTAGCTTGGGAACCCGTATCTCTTTGAGCCTATGCGCCCCACCGCATCTTGAGTCACAAACTCTCGATGCAACGATGGCAAGACCTCATCTACCCCAAGCCCAAAAGAACGGAGGACCTCCTGAACCTACGGATTGATAGGGTTGCCGGTCTGGGTGTGGTTGGGTTGCAGGCCCCCAGCCGCAAAATGGCCGTGAGTACACACTGCCATGATCCGCTACAAGACCTTGCTCTAACTATTGAGGCCTCCATACTCATTAGACCCTTATTCTTAGAGTGCCACTTAAAGAGACCCTCCTCTAACTCTTAAGTCTCCTATATTCATCACACCCTTATTAATATTCGCGCCCCTTGTAGAGCCCTTGAGCTGCCCCAGGCGCAAGTGCTATGGGATGAGTACATGGCAAATACCGCCTCTCGTCTGCAATTGCGAGAACCGCTCTTACGGGAAGGCTTGCTGCAGGGGCCTAAATACCTATACTATTTTAGGGGGTTCCTTTATTCTAAGTATAGTATAATATACTCCAAAACCCTATTCTAACTATTAAGGCCCCCATATGAAGCCCAAAAAACCGAAAGAAGCCACAGAAATTCCACACCGACACCCTAAACCATAAAGCTTCACAGCCTGTGGCACAGGAGAACTCAGTGTCCACGTTTACTAGGCTTAGGGCCTAGGGTTTACCAGCTGGAACCTTTTGGGGACTGCTTACATAAACCCTAAACCCCTAAATCCTAAACTCCTAAACCCAAATACTCTAAACTCCTAAATCCAAGGCTAGCCTTGGATCATCGAGCTTCGTCCCCGAAACCTTAAACGAAGCCCAAAACCCTCAATCGTGACAAGGCGCCCCAACTCGAGGGTTTGGGGTTTATGGTTTCAGGTTTGGGGTTAAGGGTTTAGCCCAAACCTCCGAACTTTAAACCATGGCGAGACTTGGGATTGCTTTGCTGAACACCTAAGCCCCCAAAACCCTGAACCAAAGCCCCAACCCCGCTAAACCCTGAACCCTAACCCGGTCAACGCAGCAGCTTATTCGTTCAGGGGCCTCCAAATTCTAACGAGCTTTAGGAGCCTTATTTGAATGTGTTTATGTATACAGCCCTTGTTGGGGATGCCTATAGGACTGTGTACGGTATCTGCTTAGGGGCACGGTGTTTATGTGGTCTTATACTTCTTATATCGAAGGTTTATGAGGGTTTCTAGTCGATTCTATTCTTCGGCTTTGCCAGCTTCAGTCCGCATCCTAAACCATTGTACCGGCGACGGCAAGCACGGTGAGATAACCTCCTGTGTCGACTGGCGAAATGTACCCCAGCAAGACAAACTGCTTAAAGTCAACATCTTCAGGTGCACCATCCGCCATCATCGCGATCAAAACTCGTCATGCTCATTCTCTTCATCTTCATGTCCTGACTATGGTATGGTTCGACTCCTTCAGCCTTAATCTCCTCAGTGTTGTCTTCTCAAGGTCTTGCTCCTCCCTCCTGCATCGTCATACCTGGACCCCAAAAGTATGTGGAATACTAGCCTTTGTTTTGGTTTTGGGCAATTCTGTTACCTACTTTTGGGGGGTTTAGGTACTCATCACGCTGTTACCCTGTACACCCGCGGCCAAACGGATGCCATGGCATTACGTTGCTGTTGCATCCTGTTGCATTATCTCGCTTAGTAACAGAGTGTCGAGATGCAAATATGTATGGATGTACTTATCGAAAGACCGGGAATTTCATTAGTCCTGAAGCCGAGACGGTGCCACAAGTAGCTCAACCCCCAAAGCACCGCGAGCCCCAGGCGCTCAACTATGTGAACGACGTTGGGGGCAGGCTTGTCGTCCTTGCTGGTACGACTTTCGGCTGCACGAGATCATTGTTTCTTTCTTGTTGTCTTTTACCCTGAACGGTAGAGATTCCGTAATCAAGAGGCTTAACAAAAGCTAAGTCCTTAAGTCCTCGACCCTGAACCCTGGTGCCCCGAGCCCTCCGACCAAACAATAAACCCTAAACCCGTCCCCTTCACCATACTTGGAGGGTCGGGGGACTTAGTAACTAGTCATTTTCGGGACTTATAAGTACCATAACCCCAATTGGCGTCCCGTTTAGGGTACGTATAAGTCTACTTACTACCTACTTACTACCTACTTACTAAGTCCCCCGACCCTCCAAGTAAGGCCTAAGGCCCACAGGGGATCCTAAGCGGCCATTGATTCCTAGACCTAGGAATCACGTCTGGAGGGACGCCATCCCGGATCGCTTCGAACGCCAATCCCAAGGACATCTATACAATGGGTTTGCCATGGGGTCTACCAGAGTCTGGGCTTTGGAGTACCATACTTTAATACTTTTTTCTTAAACGAACCATTTTGAAATAAAAGTATGGTTTTTCTCGCGGGTTACTTAACAGCCCAGGAGTTTATAGCATCTAGGTTCTGGCAAGAGAAAGTTGTGCAAGTAGGACCAGGAGTAATGGGGTTTATAAACGCAATGTCACTGATAGCAGTCGTAATTGCTCACATCATATAGCAGGTAGTCGCAACAGTAATAGTAGCAACTACAGGACAGGGTTATAAGGGTTTGACAACGTGTTGTTTTTGTGCGAGTAGCCAAGATGGGGCCTGGCATGTGCTTTCCATCCGACAAATACGTTAGAAGCGGCCCCCACCCTGTAATAGTGGTATAATAGGAACTTTTTTTTGGGCCCTAATATAATCCTTATAGTCACCATTACAGGGTGGGGGCAGCTTCGAACAAATACGAGTGTTTGCTGGTTTTGGCAAATATTTAGTTTACATCGGAACTTCCCAACTCCGTTGATGCCAGGGATGCGGTGTAGAATTGTGCAGTGCTCAGTGGGTTTGGAGGCACATGTGCACGCTCCGTGAAAACACGTTGCAGTGACATGCGCTCTTCTCAACATGTGTGCAATGTGCTGGCGGCACGCACGAAGCGAATGCATGGTCCGTCCCAAAGACTGCACTGGGAGCATTGCTATCCTTATTAGATGAGCGATCTAAACATATGTCTACATTACACATACCTACTCAGAAACCCGAACGGATGCCATGCTGAGGGACCTGAGCGCAGGCAAGCGACCATTCCACACCCGAGCAATGATAGGTCTTCAGTGTCTCAGTCTTCTAAGTTTTGCGTGTACACGCCTTGCAGATTTGCCCAGGGAGCGTGCGAGCTTGAACCCTAAACCCTAAACCCTAAACCCCTAAACCCCTAAACCCTAAGCCCCTAAACCCTATAGAGGCCAAGGAAATGTCAGACACTCCAAGATTCACTGTCTTGGGGAGCAGTTTAAGGGGAGTTCAGAGTTTAAGGTTTAGGGTTTATAGGGTTTGAGGGGAGTTCAGAGTTACAACCATGAGATCTGAAACCGAACCTAAAATCCCAAGCCCACAACCCTACACCCCAAAGCCAAAGTCCTCAGTGCCCAGCCCTAAACCCTAAACCCCAAAGCCAAAAAACCTAATTTTCTGGAATTGGAGAAAGAGCCAGTACACTCTGCAAACAAAATCAAACCCTCAGGAGCTGCCTCCGGGAAAAAGCGCGCCGTGTCTGTGGCATCTTGGCTGGATGATAGTGCCGTCTTCAAGGCCTGGGAAACTAGAGTGGCGTCTTGAGGTTAGGGTTTAGGGGTTTAGGGTTTAGGGGTATAGTGTATCATAAAGAGACTCAGAAGCCTTGAGGAACAGTAGTGGTAGTTACTCAGGCTTCTACGTTGTTCGTTTTGACCGGGACTTCTCAGGGGTGTTTTTGAAATATCGGTATAGGACACATACGGGTTTTATAAGGGATTACATTCACTCCGTGAACCTTATGAACCGTGGACACCCGTGCTAGGGATTGCAGGGTTTGAGGCTTGAGCGTGCAGTATTGGGTGTGGGTCAAGGGTCGAAGGCTTAGAGGCTCAAATCAACACACACACACACACATCTCACACAGAGCTGATGAACATCCGCTAATTCTTAAGAAAGAAGAATTTCCTTTTGTTTTCGACAGCCGTGAAGCCCCAACTGACAGTTTCAGGAGAAAGAACTGGCCCGAATCTGGACCCTAAATGGCTTGATCTTCATCAGCGGCACTTCAAAAAACCCTAGGCCTTAGTTTTTTGGAAACTCAATCTTGGGCTTTCATTGCTTGTTTAGATTCTGCCGTTGCCTCCCTCGTCGAGGTACCCTGGCGCGGAAAGCAGTTGCCTCCTTCAGGCCTTCCCGCAGTGTTCTGTGCATATGCTGTTACTATAAGAGCAGTAGTTGTCTGTGTGGGCTTTGGGTTTATGCTGGCGAATGCAAATAGACGTCTGCAGAATTAGAAATGATACTATGCACCAAAGCCCAATCCTCATCATCAGCCTCTGGCACCAATTGCACCGATTTGGACAACGTCCGGGGTCGTAGTCTTCTTGATGGATTTTCGTTGATGGATTTCGTCGGGGATTTCGCACTAGCAGCTCTTAGGGTGTAGGGTTTCGGGTTTGGGTTTGGGGTTTAGGGAATTTCAGCGTTATCGGTTTCGGTTAAGGGTAGCCTTAGACTTGCCACGACAAGCCAAGTAATAAGTTGGGCGGGAGATCTCCCGGTGACCACAAGCGGCTCATCACTGAGAACACTGCCGCATGATGACACTTCACTAAACCCCTAAACCCTAGAACCTAAAACCCTAAGTTGCCTTAAACCCTAAGACCCTAAACCCTAACTCCTAAAACCCTAAACCCGGAACCGTTCTTCCTGAGGCCTCTCTGACTACGTATTGTGCATGGACGGAGCAGGCGGAGGATCAGAAATCGCAGCAGACGCCCGGCGGCAGAATGTTGGGGGCCTGCGTTCGGAGCGCCTAGGGTTTAGGGCTCTGTTAAGGCCGCTTGGAAAGCAGATCCCAACACCCATAAATCTTCCAACTTGAGAGCCCACAGATATAAAGTTCCGGGCTTTGCAAAAACCGAAGCCCTAGGCTCTGCAATGACACACCGCCATCCGAGGCCCTGAAGAAGAGGTCTGATCAAAAGGGTCGAGAGGTTTGGAGTTTAGGGGTTTGGGGGTTGCACTCCCCCGGTCAGCTTAAGAGAGGATCAGTCGATTTCGGTTTTGGGGCTTTGATGAACTTTGACACCGGGTCTCAGCTTAAGGGTTCACCAGCCGAGGCATCTGATTTGCTGACCTGAACCCCAAAACCTAGGCCCAAGCAACATGCCAAGTGTGAGCAGAGCCATAGCTTGTTTTTTGAAGAGTTTTGAAGATGGCGAATATGAAGGTGGCAAAGATGCTGAACCTCTGAACATGATCTTAGCTATTGATGTTGTGAAGTCGACGCACAACCGGCGCAAGGGCGCCGCAGCTGGAACTGATGACGGTGATGATAACGTTAAAGATGCTGTTTGGCTGATGCTGCTGGGATCGTGAGGAGGATGATGACTAACATCGTGCTGGATGATCATGGCCCCACTCTACCCTGAACCCTAAACCGTAAACCCATTCATGTTCTCGTCAAGCCTTTGTGGTGACAGACTTCTGCTTCTGACCGTTCTTGAGCAGTTCTGAGTTGGTCTCCCAGATATCTTCAGCACCTCCTTTAGACACCCAAAGAGGCACCCCTACTATAAGGGCCTTAAGAATTCGAATAGGGTTTTGGGGATATATGATATTATAATTATAACAAGGAACCGCCCAAATAGTATAGGTGGTTATTAAGGCCCCTGTATTAGCTAGCAGAGTCGACTGAGGAACTGAAGAGCCAACGCGATCGCCTGAAGGGACAGTCCCGCGTTTTTCCTGCAGGCTACATTTAAAGCCGGCCCGGCATAGGGTGCGTTCTACGGTGCCTTTTGGATGCATGGTCCTCGGTTCGACATTCGAGCTCATAAGGCCTCAGACGACGCAGCCATAGCAACGTTGAAAGTCCAGAAGGCAAGATGTTCGGGCCTGTTTCTGGCAGTCATGCAGCTTTGAAAATGTGCAAACAGATGTGCCGACGGAGATGTAACTCTGTGGTTGCAGTTGTACGAAAACTGATGCAAGTGGCACAATCGTCCGAGACTTAGGTAGAAACGATGCTCGTACTGATTACAATCGCATCGCCATTACCTGTGACTATCAATGACAATGCTGGCACTGTGACTGCAGGCCTCTGCTCCGATGCAAAAGCAGCCGGCGGGGGATGTCATCAGAGTTGAATTAGCAAGTGTGCAGGTGAGAATCGTAGCAGCTAGCCAGCCATATCGCTAGCAAGCCAAAGCAACTATTGTCGAGCTTTTTGTCATAAAGAAAAGCAAAGTAGAGGGAAAAGTTATAAGCCCATACAAGTACAGTAAAATTAAGCATCAACTAAATGCGAAAACCCTAGTAATGTAAAGACGTCATGTAAAGTGAAACAAAGTATTCAAAAGTGATCCAGTGTTCAGTATCGCAAGCTGGTATAAACACGTGGCACTTTTAACGCCGCATGAAAGCACAGATCCCCCGAGCAGAAAATAATCTAGGATTAAAGCTGTTGAGAGACTAAGAGTTTGGCAACAAAAAATCGCGACAGGACAGTACAGGTCCCCAGGTGTAATGAGAACAGTAGCAGGCAGGCGTCGCCGCCAATGATCATGAGCAGCCTCGGCGCATCATCATCAGAAGACACTTAGGACGTCACCAAAAGACACCCTCACGAAGAGAAACCAAACTTCAGGCAAGCAAGAGAAAGTGAGAGAGAGACGGAGAGAGTGAGTGCTTGCAGCTCTCACCCCTGAGCAAAGCAAGAGAGAGAGAGAGAGAGAGAGAGAGAGAGAGAGAGAGAGAGAGAGAGAGAGAGCACGGAGCAAGCGCCTTTGCAGAGATAGTTCGGAGTCATATGTTTGCAGGGTTAGGGTTCAGGAGAAAATCCTTTATGATGAGCTGAACTTTCCGTCCGTTGCCGTTCAATAGTCCAGGATCATGGACAGAGACGACACATGTCAGCATGCACAGCTGCACTGGTACAGTAGCACTTTGTTACGTGTTTGCGCCGAAACTGCGGAAAGCGGTGCCCTCCTTGAGCGGTTGGATGAGAATGTCATTCGATCAGCAGGCACACGGTCGGGAGGGTAACAAGTTTGCGGGTAGTGGGGTTTAGAGCTCGGAGGGTTTATAAGCGTGGGGTTGGGTTTTAGGCAGGGTTCATTGTTGCGGTATTGGGGTTACCGTTGTGTTTGGTGTAATTAACTATACAGGTTCTACAAGGCGAGAGTATCACCAAGGTTCTTCGGATCCATAAGTGTTCTATTACAAGTGCTACTATCTACTGCCTCGGTTGTTTGCACTGCCACTTCCGAGGAGTTTCTCTGGCCCGTCCCCTTGCGACAGATCAACCCGAGAGCTAAAAGCCACAATGAAATCCTAAGTCCCATGACTCCGGCCTGGACTGTCTATCGGGGAAGGCCAGTTGACGATGCGCGCAAGAAGGGGCATGAGCTGTCTTCAATCTCCTTTCTTTCCCCTGCTCTCCAGAAGAGACATAAGGGCAGAAACGAAGGAGAAACGAAGGCCCAAAAGTCGTTTCAGGGTGCAGGAGGGCACAGGGAGATGTGCGAGCAGGTTTAGTCATCGCTCAACGCAATTAAACCATAGTCAGTTCAACAATGCTCAGCACCATTACTGTTATTACAATAATTGCTTTTACTATTAAATACTAGATTTTATCCACTATTTATGCTATTGTCGTCATGATGGTTATTATTGCTATTATGATTACTACTACTACTACTACTACTACTACTACTACGACTACTACTACTACTACTACTACTACTACTACTACTACTACTACTACTACTACTACTACTACTACTACTACTACTACTACTACTACTACTACTCCTACTCCTACTCCTACTCCTACTCCTACTCCTACTCCTACTCCTACTCCTACTCCTACTGCTACTACCACTACTACTACTACTACTACTACTACTACTACTACTACTACTACTACTACTACTACTACTACTACTGCTACTACAACTACTACTTAATCTTCTGATGTTACTACGGTTGTTATTGTCGTTTTTTGATGTTGCATACATACAGACTGCATTTCTACTAGGATCTTGCTGGTCCCGAACGTGACATGAGGCTTCATCGATGTTTGGGGCATGCAGTGCCAGACTACAGGGTTTAGGGATGTGTGCCATACTTAACAGATACATAAAAGGGTTTAGGCTGGTTTTGGGTTCTGCGCCATACTTAACAGTGCTCGTTGCATGTGTCGACCACGTCTGGTCAAGCCAAGCAAGCATGTGCTACAGTCTAACCTTGCCTGTGCCAGGGAACTCAGCAATACTGCGCACCGAGTTTAAGATAAGGCCTACACCCTGTTGGATTCCTGTCCCGATTTCCTAAGCCCTAAACTCCGACACCCTAAACCCAAAACCCTAAACCCTTCCTTCATGTCAGGGCAATCATGGTCAGCAACTTGATGACGGAGCAACTGCCATCATGTTGAGGTCTCCGGAGCTGCAGAGTCAGGGTTCCGAGCGGAGGTCTGTAATTCTATTCCTTGGCCTTAGGGTTGCTTAAAGAGGTCTGTAAGGATTACTGTAAGGGCTGTTGTGGCCTGGGGTAGCTTGATGCACTTCCTTTTTCTTTCTAGGGTTGCTTAGTTTACAGGCTTGTTTGCGATCATGCTCGGTTTTCTTGCTACGGGCACCGTTGCATGCAAGATCAGCAGAGGGACGGGGCAAGTTGTGCCTGGGAGTGTCAAGTATCAGGCTTGCAGCTCCTCCTCGAAGGCATCCTCCAAACCCTAAACCCAAGCCCCAAACTCCAAACCGCCGGAGGCCTCTGACTAATGGTACACCACCTTCGAGTGTCTGTGAATCGAACCCCACACCCTGCACCGGAAGCCCTAAAGCCCTGAACAAACAAGCCCTGAACCCCTAAACCATTAAATCCCGAAGCGCTAAAACCCGAAATCCCTGAACCCCCCGACCCCCAAACCCCATAACAGTAGCCGATGCCGTGGCCGAGCTTTGCACAGGCGCTTGCCGTCCAAGCTCATGATCGAGAGCTTTCTGGACATTTTGAATCAATTCTGGCCAGGCCAGGGTCTCTAAACCCCAATCTTAGGGGTACTTAGAAAAGATTTTTAATGTTCGGTTATTATAATCCCTAATAACAGCTAAAACTATAATTTTTGCTAGGGTTCTAAGTTCAGTATAATACCCCCAAGTCTAAAGTCCTTAATCCCGAGCCCCTAGAACCCTAAATCCGAAGCCCTGCTCCCTAATCCCTAGACCCTAAAACTAAGAATTTGGGTGAGGCTCTTGAATGTTTGGGTTATGGTGTTTGGCAGTGATTCCTGGCCATTGTGACAAAAATTGGTGTCGGCAAGGATACTACAGGCACTCAAACTGAAACACCGACAAGAAAACAACTGTCAAGCCTTAAACCCTATTTCCCTTCGCCTCATGTCTTATAGTATGGGAAAGAGAAGAGGCCTCCTCAGAGTAGGCGCCCTACTGGGGGTGCCGACATTCCGAAACCCGCATACGGGTTTGGACCTGAGCGCTTCGAGCGAGGTCTGGGAGTGCTGTGTGGTTGAGGTTAGTTCAGGAACCCTAAACCGTAAGCCCTAAGCCCTAAGCCCTCAACCCCTAAATACCCTAAACCTTACCCCTGTCTACAACGCACCACCCACAGCAAGTAGAACCCTACATGCATCATCAGCTCCGAAAGTGCAGGTGTTGCCCACAAACCTTCAACTGTATGTAAAAGGTTGGGCTCGGAGTTCAAAGCCAGGTGCGGGTTTGAGAAGACATCGATGTCATTTTTGTTCGTGTGGGTTCGGCGGTTGTCTTGTTGGGACGGAGGATCGAACACATTGTTACGTGTCGTTGACGGGCAGTAGGGGTTGAAAGTTTAGGGTCTCACGTCGATGTTACTTGAGACCCCTGTCCGCGGTGGCCCGTGTTCTTTTTTGCAATCGGAGGCCGCTACAACTTCGTGTACGTCCCCCATGACAAGTCACGGGCACGGAATGTGGCGCTGGCCTTCGTCAACTTCACTGACAGTGAAGCGGCTAGGTGCACCGGCTTGTGTCAGCGGTTGCTCAGACAGTTTCCTACTACCAAGGGCTCAGGGCTCGACAGGTTGTAGGGCCACCTCACCCGAGAGCCTGTATCCTGATGTTGGACCGAAAGATCTTGACAGGAGTGGCCGCTGCTACTGCCACTGCTACTGCTACTGCTGCTGCTTCTGCAAGTATATATAGTTACTGCAAGGTTAAGTATTGCTTCTGCTACTACTGCTGCTGCTGCTGCTGCTGCTGCTGCTGCTATAGCTCTTACATCCGTCGACTACTACTTCTTCTGCGGCAAGAACGACTAACAAGCACCACAAGTCAACATGTGTCGCATTCACCTACTTCTAAACTTGGGTCACAATGAGAACAGCGACTGGTCGCGATTGCTGCTGCTGCTGCTGCTGCTGCTGCTGCTGCCGCAAGTGACGTCGCCTCGCCCCGCATTGTTCGGGCAGCTGCTGATGATGGCAGTGATGACGGGATGATACTGAAACTGATCGTCCTGGGATGACGGTACAGGCGATGGTGCCAAAGACGACAATCCCGGTGATTGTGACTGGGTTGTGCGGAGAATGTGGACGGAGGATAATCAAGATGTGTCTAACTCCTGTTGATGCACATCGAAGTCTGAACCATAACCAGAAGCCGTCACCCATCCACCCTATCCCCTGTTTGACCCATCTGCGTAGTTCTCTGAACTGTAGTTGTAGGGCTTGTGTTTCAATCCCCAGAATAAGAGCTACCTCAACTTAGAAAAACCCTTCATATGGATGCACGTTACGGCCTTGGAGTCACAGAATCCGAGGACGGCTTTTGCGTACTTTCAGGGGCGCAGCCATCCGATGGATGTCCGGCTTGGAAGTCAGATTCGTGTCTCCCAGGCACGGATTCATGAGGGTTTTGGGGCTTTGCGCGATAGCAATACCTGAACCCCGATGGGCTAGATGTACTTGTGGATTTCATAGCTATTCGTGCCGCTTCTGGGTTCCGTACAGTTAGTGATGACAGGTTGGTTTGGGGATTGCACTTGGGTTACCTTTCAAACCCAGATACAACCCTATATGAAGCCGATTGCAACCGAATCTGCAACCCCTTCACGACATCGACTAAGAGCCCTCGAAAAATTGATCCAGCTTGATAAAGCCCTTGGAGTCTAGGCTCCAGCTGTTGTTTTGTGCATGGTGCAATCTGCTTTGCATGGCGCAATCTCCTCGGATTCCGTTTCAGCAAGCTGGGGGTCGATTGACGCCTGCTGTTTGGGGATCCTATGTATGGAGTCGCGGACTTTCGGACCGGTGTAGGGATGTGATGGGATGTTTGGGAAAGGAACGGTGGGAATCAGGATTCGATTTTTAGGGTTGGAGACCGAGATAAGTACCCATATTTCGGTATTTCGGCCGAAGTGTTTCGAGTGATGACAGTTCAGCTCCGTGAGGGACTCCCAACACGAGGCTAAAGATGGTGGAGCAGTCGTGTTTCAAGGGCTCCATCGTCGGCAAGCTCTGGATCTTTAATGTCACTAGGGTTAAGGGTCTATGTGGATGAGGTTTTGGGGGTTTGGGGCTTATGAAGATGTGACAGCATCAGATTTGAGAATTTGGGTGGTTGACGGCTAACAGAAATTTCTCAAGTTTCTGGGACAGGGCCATTGACTTTCTGTTTGTCGACTTTCTGTTCATCTTGCGACAAGTAGTGCTTGAGTATGAGCTTGCAGGCTGGGTGTTCAGGTTGAAGATGCTTCAGCATCAACAACCTCAAGCTACTCCGAGACACCTGCATCAGCCGAAACCGTTAGGACGGAAGAGTCTGCCACAGACTCGTGGGCGGCAGTGGCGAACAGCAATGGAGTGGGGATCCACAATGATTCTCACACACGTATCGCACCACCTGTCCTGTCGTTACATGCTCCAGGCTCCATATGAATAGTTTCTGCGTGATCCCTTGTAGGGCCTGTAGTGTCATAACCCCTAAACCCTAAACCCTATCTATGGTAGGAGGCTCAGTTCGAGGCAGCAGAGACCCCTTGATCTTCGATCGAGCCCGTCTCAGCAACGACAACGGAACTCGTGCGCCGCCGAACACACGGTTTAGGGTTTAGGGTTTAGGGCCGTGGATGCATGGATGTGATGACGTGAAGCTGTCGTACTCCGACCTGTTTGTTTCATGCTGATCCCTAAACTTGAGACTTCTTCTCCCTGGTGCTCAGGTAGGGAATGTGGGAATGAATTCCTATAGTAGTCCCTACATCTTCCACAATAATAGTCCCCATAGTCCATTCCCCCATTCCCTGCTACGCACCAGGGAGAGTTTAGGGAGATCTCGGCTTAAGACGGATTCAGGAAGCACAGAACCACCGAGCTTTCCGGGGTTTTGAAGTTTGGATTCAGGGCAAGAGATTCGAATTTTGGGCTCGCGCTTAGGATCCTTAAGTTTAGGGTTTAGGGGTTTAGAGTTTAAGGGTTTAGTTTAGGGTTTAGGGTTTAGGTGTGGGAGTTTAGGGTTTAAGTGTTTAGGGTTTATACAGCTGAACTCAAGACCCCGCATTTGCTGCGAGGCAGATGTACAGGGCCTCAATCTTAACCTGGCGTACTTCATCGCAAGGATGGAACGTGGGCGTTAGGGGTATTCGCCTCCTGTTTGAGGGAGTATAAACGTAAGACAAAATCATCAGGAGTCCTTTGACGTAGGCTCGTTGAGCCGCAGGTAGAGGTATAGAAGTATGGGGCGAATTGACCACTTGCCTCCATGGCAGTAGCCTAGTTGCCAGTTTGTGTTCTGGGATTCGGGTTTCCGGTTTAGGGTATCCTAACCGCTGGGTGGATGAAAGGGTTGTCTGCTTGATTGAACGAGCTGTCGAAGCTGCGATGGCGGAAGTCAGCACTCGTGACAAGTGAGCTCATGCGCTGGGCACCTATTGTAGCAGCAGCCGGCAGCAGCAACATTAGATTAACCGCCTCAGCAATAGCAACACCGTAGTAGCTTGAGTAAGGACAACCATCAGAGTGCTCATCTTTTTCTGCTTTTCAAGCAACCTCACGACAGGAAACTGCGACTAAACGGACCACAAAGCTCTGTGTCCCTCACTCAGCCCTGAACACACCAAGCCAGCTTCCTAGGCCCTAGCCAGTTTAAACTCTGCTAAAGGTAAGCCCGCGGCCTCTCGACAGAATTCCTGAATTCTGCGCCCCCAACCCTTACATGGGTGGTTGTCAAAATTATGGTGCCTTTTGGGGTAGCCTAAATATTAGGTGCCGTATAATATGGACCCAAAAAGGGACCTAATATTGACAACCACCCACATCCTAAGCCCCAACACGAATAAGTTCCTGAACCCAGTTTATGGAGCCTATGGGTAGACCCCATTAGTGATATGTATATATATATATATATATAGAGAGAGAGAGAGAGAGAGAGTGATATCTACATGCTGAGATTAGACATGTTGCACTCTAAAGCCTTGACACCTTTCACCCTACAGCCCTATACCCTGTGAGATTACCCATAGGCCCCATAGTAATTCCTTTTTGGGGGTTCATATTTAGAATCCCATAAGTAATTCCGAAAAGGAACTACTATGGGGCCTATGGATAGGGCTCATGTAGCCGTCAGGAGTGGCCTCAACGATATGGAAAACCCGTATGCACCTCGAGTCTTCGAGAATGGCCGGCGCGTCAACCTCCTGGAGGTGCGCTTTTGGTTATCGGGTTTCAGGAGTCCTTTAAGAGTTCCTCTAATATTACATATGCATATATATATATACAAAACGGGGGACCCTGGGCGTGCACTTTTCCAGGAGTTTTAGCGCTAGCTTCAGCATCATTTACGCAATACTTAATGAGAGAGGTACGCTCCCTGCAATAACGGAGTTTTGCTGCAGATGACACCTCAAAAGAACCCAAAAAGACCTAAAAACCAAAAAATCGAAAAAAACAAAAGAACCAAAAAAAACAAAAAAAACAAAAGAACCAAAAAAACCAAAAAAAACAATTGCCAGAGACTCCTGGACTGAAATTTCCATGGCCGGAGAGTGTCAGATTTTTGTTTTTTTTTGTTCTTTTGGTTTTTGTGGTTCTTTGTTTTTTTTGGGTTCTTTTGTTGGAAGTGGCTGCCAACCCAAAAAAATCAAAATTCGCGCGCGCCCAGGGTCAGTGGCACACATTGGGGGGCAATGCACTCTCACGGCAAGGCTCGTAGACAATGCACATGTATACGTGTGAGTACTGCAATTGGTCTAGTTTAAAGCTGTTACATTGCCACTCTTGTAATTAGGCTTAGTAGCGTCTGCGGGATACAGCGACCAAGTATTTGTTGAGCTCCGTTTGTTTTACAGTAACTACCATTTTTACTGTTAATACGGTGACTATTAAATATCTCTGAAATATGCAGGTCGATATTGATTCGCCGATATTTTTGCGTTTTTTGCAGGAAAACCCCAGATGAAGTGTATAGTACTGGTGATCATATTGTCGTAAATTACTACAGTTACTTAATCTTATTTCAATCTCACATAGGCCCTTCACAGCATACTAGAAAACTTGGATGTGCACAGATACATGTGCGTGTGAAATATGTCTGTATGCATATATATATATGTGTATAGGTGCACATACGTGAATGTGTATGAGTACCTATTTTTGAGATGTATGTGTAAACTGTGCGGATTTATACATAAAATACAAGTACTGTCGTATGCTAAACGTTCTTTTACTTCGTAAGTAAAATTGAAGGCATAATCAGCTAATCAGGCTTACTTCATTTGTTTGCACAGTTACTGATTTGCTTATCACCACGTTACTGTATAGGCAACCTATTTACCAGTTTCAGGTACTGCAATTGGATACCACTAGAAGTTTCATCTTTAACTTCATACCCGTTGTTACAACACTGGTTTGGTATTGTCGATCTTAAGATTCTTGAACATGTCTTATCTTGTTGTGTATAAGTGTCTACATGAAGTCGATCACTTGGAACACCGGTGCACATCTATACAACACGCTGGCCAACAAACCTAAGCTTCAAAAAGCGCATTATGTTTGTAGGATCATTCACATTTACATTTTCTGCTATAGGATTTGTACATTGATTTACATGTTCAGCCTGTCCACATGTAACATGCCTTCTATATTTCGATTACTCTTCTGAACATGACCATAGCTAAAGTATAACAAGTACATGTATGTGCCACCTTACAATAGACTTGTTGCTGGTAACCTATAGAACATCGGCTTAGTGTGGATTGAAAAGTATCGTGTATCTAGTGCTATTACTGTCTGTATTTGGGTTGAATGCTCGGCTACCATCTTAAACACGTACCGACAAGAGCAATGCAAAGGGCATGGTTAGTATTAATAACACGAAGATGAGCAAACAAATTAGTATTTACAGATCACGAAGTCTGTACTACATCTACAAGCATGCTCCGCGCACACATATGTGTATACATCTATGTATGTGCATTGAAAGGTCAGGATTTGTCAACCAATGTAAGGCACTGTATATACAAAGTGTACATGTATGCAAATATATTTACATATAAATACAAATACATATATATATATATATATGCATATATATATATATATATGAACATGCCGAGCTCTCTACCCTGCACAATTTCACACATACATGTGTGTATATATATATATATATATATATATGTGTGTGTCCGTCTTTGTATGTAGGTATATATATATATATAGACATATGCATATACATATTTATCCGTACACATATACTCTTCATATATATAATATAATATATATATAATATATAATAGATATATATATAACTTATGTTCATATACAAATACACATATATGTGATTGCAACTTATGACATATTTGGAAGTAATACAATAGAACAGAATACTAGTATCCATGCCTATGTGTCCTCAGCCCGATGAAACTAACGAAGCAAATCATATGATGCAAACAATATGTACTGAGGTCCAAACTTGCTATAATGCAAAACACAAATAACAGTATTGGTACTAGATATTGCAGGGTGCCGGAAAAGTCTTATACTTTCCGTCAGCTCGAGTCGGGAAGATCAGCAACTAGGGCCGTGTCTCTGGTCGCTTGACCCTTAGACTGGACAAAAGACCAGCAAACCAACTAGCCATAACATGAATGCGGGCACGAGTGGGTCTCTGATGGATTCTATAAAGCAACATATGTGCTTGTACCATCACAAATCTAGCATAAAGCAAGCTAGCAACAAATACAGAATCAAACAACTTCACAAAAGCGCACGCCCACAGTCCCCCGGACTCTATATATATATATATATATATATATATATGGTAACCCCCCCCCAAGACCTACCTACCCTCGTTTTGTATCGTAAATACCGTGCCAAACCAGCTTTTCCGGAAGGTCAGGATTCTGTATCTCTCATAGACTACCCTTACAGCACCATTACCCTCGCACTTGTCAGGAGTTGCTGGATTACCAGCAGTGCAGCATGCGCGTGCAGGGAGCTGTAGCTGTAACATGCTGCAGCCTTATCGGCACAGGAGTTTCGCAGTTCTCGGCAGGTTTAGGCTAGCGCTCAAACGGATTTGCAGGCATCCGTGCGCAATATTGGGTCTGCCGATTCAGGCACGTGCGAGACATTCCCTGTAGCAGCTGCCAACAGACATCTCGAAAGCGAGGAGCTTTGACGTTTCCACCAGTCAGAAAAAAGTCAGACGTTGCGATTCTGAGATTGATTGAGGGACAGAGCTTGACGCTCGACTCTGTGACGTTGGGAATTCATAGCTGTATTCAGATTGGGAGCCTGCGTCCCAACTTGTTGCTGAGAACAGCTGGATCTCGACATTCCTGAGCTGTCTGCTCTCTGACTCTCTCAGCTCATTCTTGGCTTTTCTTTTCTTTTCTGCTGCGGCCTCAGTCTACATTGTTGCTTGTGAGAAGACTACCGAAATCAAGCTCACATTCCAAGAGAACGTGTCAGTCAACTCCCTCAGGTTTGACGTCAAGTCCGGATTCAGTATCTCTCAAAGACTACCGAAGTCAAACTCACATTTCAAGAAAACGTATGAGTCAGCTCGTTCGAGTTCGACTTGAGCACACTAACCTTTTCCTAGGGAAAACCAAAAAAACAAAAAAAAACATCTTTTGGGCGACTATGTGGCCAGACTTGAAAAAGATGTTTTTTGGTCTTCCATTGGAAAAAGATGGTTTTTGGTGGAAAAACCAACTTTTTCCTAGGAGAAAGATGGTTTTGGTGTGAAAACCAATTTTTCCTAGGGAAACCAAAAAATCACATCTTTTGGTAAACTATACGGCCGGACTCCAAAAAGATTATTTTTTTTGGTTTTCACTAGGAAAAATTTGTTTTTCACACCAAAACAATTTTTTCCTAGGAAAAATTTGTTTTTCACTCCAAAACCAATCTTTCTCCTAGGAAAAAGTTGGTTTTTCACCCCAAAACCATCTTCTTCCTGGGGAAAAGTTGGTTTTTCACACAAAAAACCATCTTTTTCCTAGGAAAAAGTTTGTTTTTCCACCAAAAACCATTTTTTTCCTAGGGAAAGCAAAAAAAAAAAACATCTTTTCGGAGCTCGGCCGTATAGTTCTCCGACAGATGTTTTTTGTTTTTCCAAGGAAAAAGTTTGTTT